CTCCTTTTGCTTTCTTTTCTATTTCACATTCCACTATCTGACACCACATATAGGTAGGTTGAACCGTATGAAACTGAAGTTTTGTAGGTTAAAAGTGATCAGATGGTCACAATTTCACATGACTCCACCTAACATATATACAACAGGATCTGGAGTTTTAAAGAAAATTTCACTCTCAAATAAACAGGTATTATTGAACTTGCCTAAGAAAGTGACAATTAGCATTGGATGGCTAACCAAAAGGTCTATGGTTCAAACCCACCAGCCACTCCTTGGGAGAAAGATGAGACTGTCTGCTCCTGTAAAGAGTTACAGCCTCGGAAATCCTAGGGAACAGTGCTACTCTGTCCTAAGGGTTGGAATTGACTTGGTGACAGTGGGTTAAGAAAGTGAGTATCATTGTTCTCAGAGCATTAATATGGTTTGACTAACATGACCAATTTTGCCATTTCCCCCCTTCTTAATAAAGGAATCCTGGCATGGCGCTCTAGGATAAGCACTGGACTGCTAACCGCAATGTTGGCGGTTCAAACTCACTAGCTGCTCCTTATACAGAAACCTTATTACAGGGTCACTATGAGTCGGAACTGAGTCAATGGTACTTAGCAACAACAGTAAAGGGAAGTGGATGGCTTAGAGAGGACCATCCTGAAATGGATACCAATGTCATCAGAAGCATATAGTCAAGTCTTACCACAGCCCCTGCCATGGACGTCTCACTTCTAGAGAGCTCAAGTTCTTCATATATTCCTAGTGTTTTGTTTGTAAGAAACTGTAAGAGACTAGATTTTTATTAGTGTCCAAACTTCCTTTTAAAAGTTGTACTAGTCATTCTAGAGTGGCATCCACCACCTGCCTGACCAAACCTCTGTGCCTTTACTCTTCCAGGTGGAATTTTAAGGAAAGGCGCAAAGCTGTTCTTCCGCCGGCGGCATCAACACAAAGACCCAGGCATGAGCCAGTCCCACAATGACCTCATGTTTCTGCAGCAGCCAGAAGGTACCAGGAGGAAGGGGATGACCCTCAGTAGGATCCTGAACAAGAGGCTGCTGTCGAAACACAGAAGCAAGAGCACCATGAATGGTGCCCCTGTGGAGCCTTGTGCATAGGGCTCAGGGTCAGCAACCTCCTTTCCATGAACTCACATGAACACCTTACCAGGACCAAGTGAACATGATAATTATGGCTGGAGACTCAATTTCTATATATATAGAGAGAATCCTGGTGTGGCACTGTAGGGTAAGCACTGGACTGGACTGCTAACCACATGGTTGGCATTTCAAACCTGTCAGTCACTCCTTGGCTCAATTTATATATTTACATCATATATAAATTAAGTCTCCAGCCAGGAGACTTACCCAAGAGAGAACTAATGAAACCTCATTTGCCACCAGATGCCAAATGAGACCCAACAGCCCCTAGCTTGGGCTGTGCACCAGTCTAAGAGTGGAGGTTACGTATTAGAAGGAAATTTCCATTGTGAACTGCATGGCATGCTCTTTCGAGCTACGGGGAAGTAGGGGTGGGGGTGGGGAAAGACAGGTTTCTAGGACTCAACCCACTCTATCCACTAACAAGTGTTATTTGGGGTCCACAACTGGACCTTGTTATTAGAAAGAGGAGTCACCCCCCTCTGTGTTGTCACAATAAGCAAAATGGATGGGTCACCTGTGATTACTGGCTGCTCAGGATCAAAAATGCAGCTGGCCTTGAGTACAGGGAGATGGAACCTGGGCAGGAGTCTTGATAAACAGAGACATTCTAATAGGAATGGAAGTACTAACTATGACCAATGTACGCAGACACTTGTCCTTTATATTAGCCATATCACTTGAAAATTATGCAACTCCTAAATATATCCTATGCATATTATTCCAAACACTTCTTCCAAGTTTACTTTTGAGCCTACTTGCAAATGGAAGATATATATAAATTCTTACATGATTTTCTTTTGTATTTTTCTCTTAGTGTGTTAAGAGCTCTAATACCAGCGGAACCATGGACACATGAATTTTTTTTTTCTTTCTTTTCTGGCATATTTGATTTAAAAGGTGCCAGAAAACTTGTCAGAATGACGTAAGAGCAATAAGCCACAGCTTTAAACACAATACATGGTTTTCCTTTAGTCCAAGGTTGATTTCGCCAGTAGCCAAAACAAAATACTTTTAGGGGCAAGGAGGAAATTGTGTCTCAGGTGTCAGTCTTAGGAATGGAAGTTTTATAACAAATGAGCCAAACTTGCATCCAGTTCTTTGTATGAGCTCATCAGAATTCTACTTTGAACAAGCACTCAGTGCATTTTGGAATGCCTTTGTGTGATTCCCAGTGGGGAGGAGAATGATAAACGTGACACAGGCATTTCATTATTCCAGTGCATCTTTCAAACCTCTTTCCTCCATAGTAATCTTTCTACTTAGGCTCATTCAAAATGTTCACATAAGTCCAGTTACTTTGTGTTACTTATCATATACATGCTAGTTACAGAACAACTGTCACTGGAGTGGAATGTTCTGGCATTAAATAAGATTCGTTTTCCTCCAAGAAGATTGAAAAGGCTTTTAGGAAAACTTCATTTTATCACAGATGTGAGGTTACATGAGCTTAATGTTAGTCATTTTTTAGCATTAAACATATTTCAGGGGCAATCAAGCCATTGATAAGCAAAAGCTGTTAGAAAAACAAAATTATGGGATTTTTGTGGGGGTGGGGGAGAAATCAGAAAAGTGCTTTAAGAATTGAATTTTAAAATGCACACTTAAAAATTCTTTGGTGCTGTGGGACTTATCATGTGATTTTAAATGGACCTTTTCACCATACTTTGTTTTTAAAGATTATATTCCAATTTGAATCACAGAAAATTAGCACTTGGAGTTCCAAAATATGTGAATACCAAGTTAATCTTCAGAAGTTAGTGGTGACAACTAGCCCTTAAGAATGGAGGGTCACTTTAATGTTTAATGTCACTTGAAGTATTAATGCTGTTCCTTTTGTGTTGGGTAGAGCCTGAAACATACAAGAATTAACTCTAAGACTGTCAGACGTTGATTAGACACTTTCAATACAGCTTTGAGATGTTTGTTTGATTTTGAAGTTCAGATAGATCCATTTTTTTCCCCAAGGGTAAAGATAGCAGAGTTTTAAATTGAGCTTTCTTGCTCTCAAAAACAAAAAATGTGACCATTTCCATTCCCAACCAACCCCTCGAGCATTCTGTTCCCGTTCCCTGTTGAACACCTTCCTCAAGGGCTCTGCTTCCTCAGTCTCGACTTGAAATTTTGTCAGGGTCCTTGAAAGTGTCAGCCGGGCCGCTGTATCCCATGTGTGTGAAGCAAGTGAGCAAAGCTGAGACACAACACGTAGAGAGTGCTGTTACAGAGCTTCATGGTCCTATGTGTGCCTCTGGTCCACATGGAGACCCCTTGTGCATTTATGCCCATCTACTGGCTGCAAGTGTGTAGAACACTAGTTAGGTGTTCTTCAAATTGGTTCTGATTCCATAGCGACCCTGTATAGGGTTTCTCAGGAGCGTCTAGCTTATAGTTAGCAGTCTAGCATTTATCCTACAGCACCACACCAGGACTCCAGAACACTAAGAATGCAGGGGTTTACCTAGGAAATTGGAGTCCTGGTGTGGCGCTGTAGCTTAAGCACTGGATTGCTAACCTCAAGATTGGTGATTCAAACCTGCCAGCCGCTTCTCAGAAATCCTATACAGGGTTTCTCTAAATCAAAACTGACTCCGTAGCACTTAACATCAACCTATGAAATTAAAACAAGCTGGGAGATGATTGGTGCGTGAGCTAGGGACGCGCCAGGGCAGCACCATGACACCATGGGCTCTATTGATACTGTGAATGTTTCTTTTCCAGCCTCTTATCCAGGTTTGTCTTTTTAATGGTGTAGGGTATTTATGCTAAAGTAAATGTCTTGAAGTTAAGCATCAATTAAGACTCCATACCAAATGTTCAAAGTACTAATTTGTGAATCACCGTTACTCCCTTTACCTTTCTACAAACTTGAGTGACCTGAGAGTTGTTTTTAGTTTTGTTATGTTTTTTTGTTTTCTTTTTCTTGGTGAGATTTTTGCAGAACGGTATTCTAAAAACCAGCCATTCTTCATGAACACTAATATGAGTCTGCATCTCTAGAAGAAGGTGCTGGTGATGGTTCTTTCTAATGGGCTCACAGCACTATTAGGATTGCTTCCTGTAAAGATGTGCTTGTGTTCTTTGTAGCAGGATGAAAGCAGGCTGTTAAGTGTGTATGTGTGTGTTTTGATGTAGCAGCAACAAAAGTAGCAACCTCATTGTTTCCATTGAAAACCTGTTGTGAGGAAAAGGGTTTAGACAGAGCACTTTATTCAAATCAAGTTTAAGTTCAACACCAGACCTTGATTCCTGAGTGACTTGGCCAGTCATCGTCAACCAATTAATTAATTCTAAATGAGGTGCTTGTCCAGGTTTTCACTGGCCCACCTGTAGAAGAGTTCATGGATTTTTCTTCCAGAGCAGGAAGGAAAGGTTGAGTTTACATGGCTGCCAACAAATCCAGGTGTTTCTGGGAAATAATCTCCACGCCCTTGGGTCTTGAGACCTTAGAGTAGGAGTCAGTGAACATCGGGAGTCAGAACTCTTATCTCTACCAGATAGAAAGCTGATCTTAGGGTCAGTGTAGACGGTGACTCCAGGCCCTCTCTCCACTGCCCAAAACCTGCCTAGCATGATTACCAAAGCAACCAATGCAGTGACAAGGACAGCCTGAAGTCCTGCATAGCGAACTCAGGTGACCTTTGGGTAAATTTTCTTAGCATTCTTCCTTTATGTGCAAGGAGACCTATTCAAAGTAAACTGCTCAGTGTGCTCAGCTACCAATTGATGAATATTGCACCATTTATATTTTATTTGTAAATTTTTTTTAATGTCATGTCAACCCTACATTTAAAAAAAAAAGGTTTTCCAGATATGTGATGGCTTGATGATCAAGTGTGATGATGAATTTGCATTGCAATGATTGTATTCCTGGGTAGCACTTTAAAATCAAGTTACGGTTCTGCACCAAACCAGTGCAGTTGGGTTGTGGAGGGGTGTATAGGAGAAAAGGTAGCCAGAGCATGAGAGATCTTTTGAGGAAATAAACATGCACATGAAACACCAAGCATGGAGTTGTCTTTGCCCTAAATCCTATGCTTTCCTAGAAGTCCTGTGGTCTCCTCCAATCACATGCCTCAATGGTCACCACCTGTGACTAGTCATCTAGGTCAGCTGCATGAGAGAAGAGATGGGCCATTTGCTCATTTTTGCTCTTCTTTGCTTCTTGTGTGTTGTGGAATAGGGTTTTGGAGAGCAGCTGGTGGGTTTGAACTGCCAATCTTGCAGGTAGCAGTACAGTGGTTATCCTATAACACCATACCAAGGCTCTCTTCCTTGCTTAGCACTTGGCAAATGACTCTCCCCTAGCATTCTTCTTAAATGATTTACAAGCCAGTTGGCATCCTGTTTAAATGCCTGGATCCTCATATGGTTTAAATGGTTTGTACTTGCTTGCATGGTGCCACTGGGACCACCCAGTGACACCATGAGAGAAAGGACTGGTGATCTGCTTTTATAAACATTGTTGTTGTTGTTGTGTGCCGTGGATGCGGTTCCGACTCATAGTGACCCTTTACAACATTTCTGAGGCTGTAAATCTTTCTCCCGCGGAACAGCTGGTAGTTTTGAACTGCTGACCGTGAGATTACCAGCCTGATTCGTAACCACTACACTACCAGAGCTCCTTTTTGTAAAGATTAGAATCAAGGAAATGTTATGGAAGAGTTCTACTCTGTAAAAATGGGGTCCAAGTGAGTTGGAATCGACTGGAGGCCAATGGATTTTGCTTGTGGCTAGCAGCATTTTATAGAGAAAGGCACTGTCTCCAGGGGACTTTGAGTCATGAGGAATTGTGGATACAAGTCAGGGTCTCCCTTAGCCTGGGTTCCCCAGCAATGAATCCTAGGACCAGGTGGTATGTGTGTGGCACATTTGGAGGATTTCAGGGCCACATTATGGGACTCTGTGACCCACAGGGACCTTCTGGGGAACACTGTCCACTTGGTTGTAGAGGTGAATGC